ACAGGTGCCTACATACACGCAGTGCCTACATGCATGCACACACACACATGCAGGTGCCTACACACATGCAGTGCCTACATGCATGCACACACACATGCACACACGCAGGTGCCTATACACACACAGTGCCTACATGCATGCACCCATGTACACACCCACAGCCTAGGCGGGTGCTTCCCCTAAGGGACTTCCGCTTCCTGCTGAGCCCTCCACATCCTCCCTCCTGGCGATGGCTCCACCTACCCCTCAGGGGTCCTCAGGACCCCAACTCACTGCCCAGCAGCCCGGGCAGAAGCTGAGCTGGGCTCCAGGCCAAGCGGCAGCCCCTGGCATCCCCCTAGCCCATGGGGACACAGGCCTCCCCATTGAGGGGTGACCCTGTGGTGCCCACTTCTCAGACCTGCCCAGGCACAAGGTCTCCCATCTTTGTCTCTGCCCGGCCTGCTTTCTGCTTTACTCATGTGATGGTCAAAAAATATGATGAAGTCATACTTAACCATCTATGTGGTGAAAGACACAGCACCGTGAGTCCCCTTAGGACCCTCCCCTCCCTCCAAACACAGCCCCCCGCCCTCGGTGTTTTCAAAGCTGAGCCTCCTTTGCCTTGTTCCCCATGCTTTTCATGCTTGCCTGGTCCTGGGGCCCTGGGTCCTTGCCTCCCAGACCTCCCTCTCTCTGGGCAGACGGGGAGGGTCCCAGTCCCACTGCCCCTCTTGCCAGGTGCATGGCATCCTCTTGGATGCCAGCTGACAGGACCACCCCTTCTTCTGCATGTGGCTCCCCCCTCCTGCTTCAGGCCAAGCAAAGGCCGGTTCAGCCCCAGGTATGAAAGGGGGACCCCCACTGCCTCAGGAAGGCTCCACCCCCTGTGGCAGGAGCTGCGGCAGAAAGCAGATAGATGGCCCCAGACCACGCCGGGCCCGGGAGCCTGGCCAAGCCGTGCGGCCTTTACCTGTCGGCCAAAGGAGACTTTGACAGCGGGGTGGGCAGACGAGGTCCCTGAGCTTGGTGCCTGTAGCCTTGTGACTTGAGCCCCGGTCGGGGGAGGGTGCAGGGGCTCAGGGTCCCCCATGGGGTCTGTATCTGGTGCGCTTGTAGCTATGTCGGCTCGGGTGACCTCAGAGTGGACCTGCTGGAGCCACAGTTCCAGGGGGACTTTGTGTCCATCAACCACCTCCTCCCAGACGACAGGGTGACCGCGCTACACCACTCCGTGTACATGAGGTGAGTGGGGGAGGCTGCCACGTCCGCCGTGGTGAGTGGAGCTCTGCTCGGGGGATGGGGGTAGACCTGGCTGGGGGGCAGGAGCTGAACCCCAATCTGGACAAAGACAGCTGAGCAGAGAGAAGGAAGGACAAGCACCAGAGGGCAGCAGTGTGGGCATGCGGTCGCTAGCAGGGACGCCAGGTGTGGGGGAAGCGGGACACTGATCTCAGGACACCCTCACCACTGCCCTGTCCCCACCAGTGGGGGCGTCTGAGTCCTGTCCCAGTGTGTGAGCCCCACTGCAAGGGCCCTGGAGGCTCAGCCATGCAGCCCCCGGCACTTCCATGAAGGGCTCAGGGTTCAAAGAGCACCGGGGAGTGACACACGTGTGGCACCAGTGGATGCGTAGACCCGCCCTGCGAGCTCTCAGTCCGAGCCCAAGTGCAGCCTGGAGGTTCAGAGCAGCCGCCTCCACACTGCATCTGCGGGTGGGTGGGGTTCTCCAGTGCATCCTGGGACCCCAGGCCACGGCCTGCTTCTGTTTCACCATAACTAAGACTGTGATCTCTACTCAACAGCAAGGGGAATGAAGCTTATTTCTCTTCATTTCCAAGACCAAGTGAAAAAAGAAAAACATTCATTCTGTAGGCCTTGGATACAAGCAGAGGCCAAAAATATATGATGAATGTTTAAATATTAAAAATTAATTACAGTAAAGGACACATTGCCATGAATCCCCTAAGAATCCTCCCCCTCCCTTCGAGCACCCTCATCCCATTGTCCTTGCTACTTTCCGTAGCAGCTCTGGAGTCGTCTTTATGAGGTATGATCAAAACTAAGGTGACTGCTGCCGAGCACCACCCAATGGAAAGGCAGCTCCTAAAAACACAACGCTGGGTCCTCATCCACCTTAGTCACCGGAGCTGGCCCTGTGTGACTTCCGGCTCTTCCCTCAAGTCAAAATGACCATGACAGGGAAACGTTTTGAATCCATTTGGGACATGGAGGAGCCAGGACAGCACAACTAAAGACACTCAGGAGAGAGGGCTCCAGAGCCGCTGCAAGAAGTAGCAAGGACAATGGGATGAGTGCGTTTGAATGGAAGGGAAGGATGATGCAGGGACCCGTGGCAGTGTGTCTTTTACTGTAATGAATGTTTTATTGATTGATTGATTGATTGTTGGTACCGCGGATCAAACTCAGGACCTTGCGCTTGTGAGGCAGGCTGTAATAAAAGTTCCAAATGTGAACTTTTGCTGTATTTTGCTATCACACCTTCTACTTTCTGTGATGCCTGTGGTTTCTCCACTTCAGGGAGGGATGTGCTTCGGGCCACGTGGTCACTGTGAAGTGCACAGGTGAGCACTCTCGACACACAGGGAACCAAGGGGAAGCTGGAGCTCACCAGCATCCTGTCTGTCTTCCTCCTCAGAGTACAGCTCTGAGCCCTTTTTTTCTGGGTGCCAGATGGGAATGGAGGAGGAGGCAGTGCCAGCCTCACCTGTCAGGTGGGGAGCTGGCCCAGGTAGGCGATTTCTTAGCAGCAGACAGCACCAAGGCCCTAATGTCCTGTCCCCTGTGCACAGCCTCCAGGAGCTGGCTCCCTGTCCCTTTCTCCTTGGTCCCTGTCCCTGGGGAAGCTGCCTCCTGCTCCCAGCAGAGGGAGGGCTCCCTTGCAGAGATGGAGAAGGCAGGGAGAAGGCAGGTATGGGCAATGGCTCCAGCACCCTCAGCGTCGTGCAGGGGGCTGCAGCAGGAGTGGGGAGCAGTCTGATGTCCTGGGTGTTGTCATTACTGGACACTGAGGGGCTGTCACGTGGGCTCTGATGACCCAGGGCAATGGGGTCTTGGTTCTCCCGGGTCCCAGGAGTAAGGAGGAGCTCAGGCTCCAGCACCTGGCTGGTTGCCATCAGGGGCCTGTCCTCAGGCTCCCGTGGTCCTGGGTGGGGCAGCAGAGTTGAGGGGAGCAGTCTGGAAAGCTGGGGTCTCCCTGCACACCTTGCCCTCCCTCCGCAGTCTGTGGGCTGAGGACGGGCTACAGCCCGCGCATCGTGGGCGGGAATGCGTCCTCGCCGGCGCAGTGGCCCTGGCAGGTCAGCCTGCAGTTCCAGGGCTACCACCTGTGTGGGGGCTCGGTCATCACGCCCCAGTGGATCATCACCGCCGCGCACTGCGTTTACGAGTGAGTGTCCTGCCCAGGAGGATCCTGTTTCAAGGCTCTGGCCAGGCCTGGACCGTGTGGGTCAGGATGTGGCTGGGCACGAACAGGCCCAGAACCCAGGCAGACAAAGCCACCCCGCAGCCTCGTTCTGCCCCACGGCCCCACCTCCACACTGGGGTGCCCGGGACCTGACCTCGAGCCAGGGCTTCAGACCCGAGGCTCACGGCAAGGGGTGGGGTGAAAGCCCATGGAGCACCTGAGCCCCCCAAAGCAGTCTCTTTCAGGGGTGTCAGGGTAAGAAGGTGCATGTCCCCTGTCACTTTTACCTACTCTGTTGGGTGGCTGTTGGATGGGGTGGTCCCAGTGGCTGCTGTGAGAGCCGAGCCCTGTTTGCAAACGTGAACTGTGCAGGGTGCGGATCAAGGCCTGTCTAGGACACATACAGGCATCAGCTGTGTTTCCACAGGGCCTGCCTGGGAGTGTGGTCAGGATGTCAGGCCCTGGGCCACTTCCTGCCTGGGGACACCGTAGGGCACCTGAGGTCAGTGGGTCCCGTGGCTGGCTTTGTCCTGGGCTTCACCTCCTGGCCTGTCCATTTCAGCCTGTACCTCCCCAAGTCCTGGGACATCCAAGCGGGCCTGGTTTCCCTGCTGGACAGCCCAGCGCCCTCCCACTTGGTGGAGAAAATAGTCTACCACAGCAAATACAAGCCAAAGCGGCTGGGCAACGACATCGCCCTCATGAAGCTAGCTGGCCCACTCACCTTCGACGGTATGTCTGGGTCTCCGGGGAGCTCAGTGGCTTTTCATTTGTTTCAAGAGGGTTTGTGATTGTGTGTGGAAGTATTCTTATGGCCGTTGCTTCAACCTTATCGGAAAGCCCAGCATCTGATTCACGTGGGTGCCTGCATCTGTTGACCATGCTGGTCATTAAAGTTGTGATTGTCCTGGTTCTTAGGATGAGAAGCATTTCCAGGTGCACGCTGGACAGTTTGGCTAGGGTACGCGGAGCCTCACCGAGGGTTTCTGTTTGGTATGCACACCCTCCTCAGACTCAGTCTGTGGGGCTGCCTGGTCCAGTGCTAATGTGACTCAATCGATGCCTTCCCAAGGACTCCAGGCACCTGGCAGGTGGGTGGGGGTCAGGACCAAGGTAGTGCCCCTCCTTTGGAGCAGAATCTGGTGGCACGGAGTGGCACGAGCATGCTCCTCATGAGGGACACTTTTCCAGCTGGACATTGCTATGGGTGCCACTGGGGGCAGTGTTCGCAGTCTGTGTTCACAGAAAGTGGGGTGCCAGCAGGTGGACTTTGCTGACAGTTCCGTGCTATTTGGCGCTAATAATTCAGTCCTGCTGCTTTGAGGTCTCTGATCATCCTACCCAGAGAGAGCAGTGGGAGGCCCTGGGCACACGCAGGTCCCTACCTTTGCTGGAGGCTCAGGTGACCCCAGAGGAGTCAGGGGTGACAGGCCCTCCCAGGATGGATGTTCCGAGATGCAGAGGACGCCACCCAGGGTGCACCAGGAGCGGCCCGCAGGCCAGACCTGACCCGTGGCCCAGGTTGATTAATAAAGTTCTCCTGGACCCAGCCACACCAAGTGCTGGCCCGTTGCCAGGGGCAGTGGCGGAGGCCATGTGATGCTGAAGCCCGTGGCCCTTGGCCTTTGCCCCCCAGGCTGCCAGGTATGCCAGCCGCCCCCCCCCACACACTGCACTGGCTAGGGGCCCTGGGCAGAGGGCGGGGGCTCCTTGCTCTGAGCTGCTTGTTTCCTGTCACCAAGGCCCGAGCTGTCCCCGGAGGAAGTCCACACCCCTTGCCTGGTGAGACTGGATATGGAGGGGTGACGGGTGATGAAGGAATTCACCAAGATCAGAATAAGCACAGGGTTTGTTCAGATCAGAGGACACTGGGAGAGGACAGCAGGCATCTCGGAAATGCGTGTTCTGGGGCAGCGGGTGGGCTTCCTTGGTAGTGCTCCCAGAACACCTGCATGGCTGCTGGAGGGGCTGCGTATCAACTGACAGGACCACCTGACTTGGCCACTGGAGGGGCCTCTCCCTGGGAGAAGGACTTCGTTTCCCTCAAGCGTCCGAGGGCTCGCTCAGGCCTGGCTGGTGTGCGCGGGGTGGACATGATCGCCACGCTCCAGGGGGACGCAGAGCGGATGACTGTGCCACTGAGTGGGAACTGTCCGCCTGCCCACAGAGATGGTCCAGCCGGTCTGCCTGCCCAACTCGGAGGAGAGCTTTCCAGACAGCAAAGTGTGCTGGACGTCAGGATGGGGGGCCACGGAGGACGGAGGTCAGTGGTCTGAGACCAGATTCTGAGCCTGGGACCCTAGAACCTTGGGGTGGGGAGGGGCCCCTCTGATGTCTCATCACATTGTCCCCAAGGGGTGCCTAGAGGTCCAGCCAGGGGTGCAGGCCAACTGTTCACAGCCATCCCTGTGTGCTCCGTTGTGTCAGGACCTCAGGAGGGGCCGAGACTCGAGGGGAAACGGGGAGCTCCTGGGCAGGGCCTCCACCACACACTGGGGTCTCCTCCACCTCCTTCCTCCTCTAAATGCCATGGTGCCAGGCACCCTTCACTCAGAAGTCTGTGCTTGGGATCCAGTGCAGTGTGCACCTGCGGGACTTTGGAAGTTGTTACTTTCTCCTACAAAGATCAAGTAGAACAAGTCATTGGGTTTAGGGCCACCCAAAGGTCAGCAGGGTGAGCTGGCCTTGTGATTGTCACTTTAGTTCCATCGTAAAGACTCTGTTCCAAATAAGAGCACGCCTCACAGCTCCAGGGAGCTCAGTGTTTTCCTCTGCAGACCTGTTAATGGCATCAGTCCCTCCTATGGGACCTGGGGCTTATCCTCCTCCAGGGCTCTTGGCCCCTCCTGTCTACCCACTCCCAGCATCCACAGCGGTGCCCACCCTGCCTCGGGTCCTTGTGGCTCTTGGTGGTTTCAAGGCAGCACTTGCCAAGCCCAGCCCGTGCCAGTGTGGCAGGGCCAGAGGCTCCCAGCTCCGTCAGACGAACTGTGACCCTGGCCTGTGGAGGAGTAGGAAAGCCCATCTGTGCTCCTCTTCCCTCCTGGGGGCGCTCACTGGGGACACCCAGTCCACCAGAGCAGTTCTGCTGACTGTGAACTCTGAAGAGGGGGTCCCTGGGGAAGTGCCCCTTCCTCTCCAGAGGTCCTGGCTCCTCGGCACCAGCTCAGACCCTCCCTAGCAATGTGCTCTGTCCCACAGATGGCCCTGGTACCCGCTCCGGCACAGGGCTGGCTGCATGGCTTGACCCTCCTCCTCCTCCTGTGTAGGAAGCTCCACCCACACGTGGAGCCCTCAGCCTCACAGCAGCCCCTGCCCCATGGAGAGGACACATGGTGAGGGGTGTGGGCCCCAGACCCAGGTTCCCCCAACCAGCTGGTGTCAGGCGTGGGCTCCATGTTCTGCCCCGACCCACCCCCGGCCACAGCTGCTCCGAAGGTGTCTGGGGGCAGGCTCATGGTCCCTGATCTCTCAGCCCCATGTCTGGCCAGGCAGTTTCACTGAGGCTGCAGAGGTAGGGGAGGATTTGAGGAACTCCCCTGAAAATTCGAGGTGACATACTAGGTGCACATTTAAGGTGCAGGTTTTGAGGACGGAAGGACCATGACGCACCTGCGCCACCTTTGGAGTTGGGGAGGAAGGGGTCTCCTGCCTGGGGCCCTTTACACCTGGAGACCTGAGATGGGAGGGTTTGTCCCTTTGCGCTGGCCGGGAGGGTGGCCCCTGCAGGGACGTTAGTCTCCGGCGGCGGCTGCTGCAAGGAAAGACCCCAGCTCAGTGGCTTAGAGCGGCACACGATATAGCCGTGGAGGCAGGCGTCCCCGAGGAATTGGGTGGGCAGGCTGCTCCCTGGGTGCAGCGCCCTCCCCTCCCTCCCCTCCCCTCCAGCTTGTCTGACTGCGACCTCTGCTTCCGGCCCCATCTCCTCCTCTGAGCCTTTCCTGGGCCCACGGTGCCCTCCCGACCCTCTCCCGGGCACTCTGTCACACCTGCAAGGTCCTGTTGGCTGGGCCAGCTGTCCCAGGTGTGGGGACCGGGCCACAGGTGTCCTTGAGTCACATTTCTCTGCTGACCGCTGCGGGTGCAGTGCGTGGCCTTCGGAGCCTCCGTCTCCCTCGGGAACCTGGGTCGGGGGCTGGGCCAGGACAGACCCTGGGCAGGACGCTTCCCAGCCGCTGTGCATCCACCTCCTCCCCCACTTTGGGCCCAGGGGGCTGGGGGCCCCTGTGAGGGAGCAGAGTTCCAGGCGCGGTGCACTGCTCCCGAGTCCGATGTCCGCGCAGGGCCCTGCCGCCTTCTGCCCAGAGTCGTGTCCGGTGGTCCTCCCTCACCCTCAGCATCACCCGGTCCCTGACACGCGGCCCTGTGCGTCCCCTGCAGGAGACACGTCCCCGGTCCTGAACCACGCGGCTGTCCCTCTCATCTCCAACAAGATCTGCAACCACAGGGACGTGTACGGGGGCATCATCTCCCCGTCCATGCTGTGTGCGGGCTACCTGAAGGGCGGCGTGGACAGCTGCCAGGTAAGTGCAGCCGCTCGGGCGAGGCTGCAGGATGGTGACTCTGCCCTGGCCCCCGGGACAGCCCACTGCCTCTGCTCCCTGTGACTACGCAAAGCAAATTTACTCGTGGAGGGCAGAGATGTGCCTAAGATACCGCTGTCCTCCCAGGGCCGGGGCCGACCTGTGTTTACCCAGCCTCCCGGTCTGCGGGGACAGCTCCCTGCCCTGACCTCTCCCCTTCCTCCCAGGGAGACAGCGGCGGGCCCCTGGTGTGCCAGCAGAGCCGGCTGTGGAAGCTAGTGGGCACCACAAGCTTCGGCATGGGCTGTGCGGATGTGAACAAGCCTGGGGTCTACACCCGCATCACCTCCTTCCTGGACTGGATCCATGAGCAGATGGAGGTGGGTGCGGCCACCTGAATCCTGCACTCACAGGGACCGGTCCCTCGAGGAGCTCCCGAAGCTGAGCAGGCGGCAGAGGACCCCACATGTCCCCCGAGGCATTGCCCCTTGCTGGGAGCCTGTGAGGGAGGCAGAGGCTCTGAGCGGGAGGAGCCGGGGCACCTGGACTCCCTGGACCCCTGGAAGGGGTCCAGGTTCTGCTGCCTGGTGACAAAGGGACACCGGCTGTGGGCAGGGTGAGCAGGCACAGGGAGTAAGGCCGTGGCCCAGAGGGCGCTCGGCCAATATTTGCTGACTTAATCTCAGGCTGAGCCTCCTACAACTCCTTGGACCAGCGTCAAAGACCTTTACCCTTCTCGATTCAGCTAAAACTCAGAGGACAAAAACGAACCATTGTAAAGTGCACCATTTGGTGGCATTTGTGACATTCATGTTGCATGGCCTCTCCAGTTCTGCACTCTCCTCAGCCCATCCCTAGGAGCCTTTGAGCAGTTTCTCCTCCTTCCCAGCCTCTGCCAAACACCAAGCTGCTTTATCGTTTTTATTTTATTTTTTTGAGACAGGGGCTCCCTAAGTAGTTCAGGCTGGCCTTGAACTCCCTGCGATCCTCCTGCCTCAGCCTCCCAAGTGCTAGGGTCACAGGTGTGCACACCACTCTTGGCAGCCATGCTGCTTTAAGACCTTCTGAAACTGCTCGAAGACTGAGACACGAGCTCAAGCTCCTGGTGCTCTGGGCAGTTGACCCTGTTTCTCCCTCCTGATTTCTTGTGTGAAAGGGAAGTGGCCGGGCATAGGCAGCTTCCAGGGCGAAGTGTGGCCTGATGTGTGGGGTGCTCTGCCCAGTGGGCCACAGGAGGCCACGTGGGCGTGGAGGAGCCGGTCACAGACACACGGGGTGCTGGGCACCCACTCTGGGGTTGCCGGTCATGTGACTGAGCTGGTGATCCTGAAGGCAGAGGCCCCTGGCCGCACTGAGAAGGTGCCCAGCCCCCCACTCAGCTGGTCTGGTGCAGGGTCGGGAGGAACTGGTGCTTTTTAAGTTATTTTTGTTCGTTGGTCCATGTTTGCAGTCCATGAGGACCATACTTTGCGGGGTGCTGGTGGGTGTGCTTCACACGGCTCCATTCTCTTCAGCTCCTTCCCCTCTTCTCTCTCCCCGCTCTGTCTCCTGGTTCTGTTCTCATTTTCAGAAGATCCATCTCCCTGTTTCTATTATCTGTGTTTTATTTTGCTATTTATATTTTGGGTTTCTCATCTAAGAGAAACCATGTGATATTTAACTTTGTGCGTCTGATTTACTTCACTCAGCATTATGGTCTCAAGGTGCATCCATTTTCCTACAGATGGCTCCAGTCTATCCTTCTTTATGGCAGAGTAGTGCTCCATGTGTGTAAATACCACACACTTTCTTTATCCATTCATCTGTTGATGGACACAGAGGCGGCTTCCGAGATTTAGCTCTTATGAGTTGCGTTGCTGTAAACATGGCTGTGCATGGGTCACTGTGATATGATGCCTTTAACTCTGTCAGGAAGATCCCTAGAACAGGATAGCTGGGTCAAATGGTTTCTAGTTTTAGGTTTTTGAGGACTCTCCACACTGATATCTATAATGGTTGTACAGTAAGTTCCTGAATTACAAACATTCGAGTTGCGAACTTTCACAGATACTAAGGACCTCGCATTATGAACATTTGTATATGAGAACAAATCGCGGAAGTAGCTCCTGTGTCTGGCCGACATTGTCCCCCCTGTGCCGCTGTGTGCTCACTGCAGTGCGATGGCGCACGGCGCACAGCGTCACTCAGAGCCCGGATGTCCGGAAGCGAGAGGCAGAGCAGTGGTAAAGCAGTATACACTCTACATGTACACATCGTAATGTACACACCGTATATGTGGCAAAGCTGCGTAGGACTCACTTTGTTAGACTCAGGGACGAATCCGACTTACAAAGCGTCTCCCCGAATGGAGCTCACTTGTAAGCTGGGGGTTTACTGCCACGTGGAGGGGCTCCCTTTCCCCACAACCTCATCACACTTGTTATTGTCTGATTTCTTGACCATGGCCATCCTTTCCGGGGAAAGATGGATCCTCAGTGTTGGTTCCATTTACCTTTCTCTGTTGAGGCCCTGCTGGTTTGGATGCATGGAGTTTTCAGGGTGTAGCTGTAGGCGAGGGTCCGGGGCTGCCGCAGGCTCTGTGTCCCAGGACCCTGTCCAGGCTGTCTCAGTCATCTCTGACCCTGAACCCCGAGGGGTTCCAGCCTACCACCCGAGGCCTCAGGAGGACCTGGAGGGTCCCTGCTGCGACAGCTGTGTGCTGCTAGGACTTGGGACCTCCTGGGCAGCTCTGGAGCCCCCCTGGGGCAGTGACAGACATGGCAAGGCCTGCTGTCCCCGGGGTGGTGGCCTGCATGTGCCCACTCATCGTGATGTCTCAGAGTGGCCTGCAGGTGATGTCTCCGTGTTTGCTTTCAGAGGGACCTGAGGACTTGAAGAGGAGAGGCAAGCTGCTACCTGAGCTCCTGAGAGCAGGCAGCCGAGGCCTCCCTGGATTGGAGCGTGGGCAGAGCCAAGGGGAGCTGTCCGCCGGACCCCACCACCCAGCACCACCTGCTTCTCAGGCTTCAGCCGGGGCTTTGGGTCGAGACCACCTTCAGGCCCCTTCCTGACCTTCACCAAGACCTAAAGCAGAAAGCCCCATGTGCTGTCTTTCCTCGCTTGTTCATTTGCTTTTTAAAATTAATTTTCCTGGTCCCTGTTTGGGATCTAGAGCAGTGACATTTGTTTGGGAACTTGGTACACGTGTGTATCATACCTTGGACATGTTTAGTCCCGTCCAGCCCTTCCCCTGGCCTCCCTTCCATTTGCTTTTCTCTGCAGGGGTTGTGCAAGGTTCCTGACAAGACAAGCAGAGCCTGGGACAGCCACTGGGCCCAGATGTACTGGCCCAGAACTGCAGCCTGAACAGGAGGCTGTGGACGGCGCTGTCCCCTGGACCCCGGGAACCACCCGACACTTATTTCCAAGACCCTATTCACTGCGGGGACTTGGTCTGTGGTGAATGCGTGCTAAGGCCGTTTGTTTCCCCAAAGCATTTGGTGCTCGGTGTACTACTGGCCGTTTCCAAACAGCTCCATCCTCAGTGGGCTTTGCCTCAGTGAGGGGCTGACAACACTGGGGAGTTAACACGCTCTGCTGGAACAGGTTTCTCGGCCCAGCAGAATGACCCCAGGTTCTAGCCCCAGATCCAGGTCGTGAGTGGAACAGGACCACCCTCCCCCCAGGGTAAGAGGCCCCCCAGGCCTCCCGCTGGGCATCAAAGCAAGTAGGGGAGCAGGTCATAGCCCATCAAGGCCATGGCCTGCCCCACTTCTGCACGCGCTTGTCAATCTACCACGCACCCGCAGGACAGGGGACCCCTCCCCGCTGACCACAGACTCCTGCTGCCCCCAAGTCACACAGTAGCAGAGGAAGGTAACCCAGAGGTGCCATCGGCTCTTCATGCTTGGCACGAATCATCAGGACACGAATGAATTTGATACAACCAGCGAACTTTGAGGGAAGAGAGAGGGCCCAGGCGCCCGGGGAAGGGAGGGCCAGCAGGGAGTGGGAGTGGGAGTGGGATTGGGGTGCTGCAGGAGTTGAGGATGGAGGGCAGGAGTTAGACAAACTGCCACGCGGCCACTGTGGTTCAGGGCACCACCCCGACCGCGCCAGGACACGGACCGCTGGACAGAGTAGACCCCATTACACTGACCCCCAGCAACGCCCGCAGCCATAGCTATTACTGCATCCATAGATATGACACTTCTCTCCACTCAGACATCACCTATGGTGAAGTCTAATTTATAAATCAAGCGCCGGAAGAGATGGACAAAATAACTAATCATACGTACAGCAGTTAAAGCAATCCACCGTAATACAAGCGGTGTGACTGTGGCATCTCCCGAAACCCTGTGTTTTTGCCCTCACCTAAAGGCCCCTCTGGCGAGTGTGACAGTGAAGTCCCAGCTCTCCTGCCCGGGCCTCTCGGATATCAGGACATTCCATCTGGTGACCGCGGTGAATGCCAGTGACGAATGTGCTGGTGGTGTCTCCAGGGTGGACACAATGGTCCTCAAATGAGTCACGTCCTGGGCAGGGTGCAGGGGATGGGGTGAAATTCCACCCCGCCGGTCTGAACAGCGGGTCACTTAAAGCTTATAAATTGTTTATTTCTGGAATTTTCCACTGGAGAATTTTGGACCGCTGTTGACTGGTGTAACTGAAACTCAGATAAGGGTAACTACTCAAATAGAAAAATGTCAAGACCGTTTTTATTCCAAGTATTTCTGCCCAGCTGTCTTTAGAAGGAACAAAAGCTCGCAGATTACATATCCAACCTGTGGGAAGAGGAAAGATTTCCCATGCGATCACCTCACTGGAGAAAAATGGGCCTTGGGGCCAGCAGACACACGTTTCTGGCCCACTGAGGCTTCTTCCTTCTCTAATTACCATGGGGTTTTTGGGGAAATGTTTGATGGCCTGCATTATGTGGTGGCAATCAATCAGTGTGTACCAGGTGCCTCATGTTGCCTTCACTTGTTTTTTATCTTTTTGTGTTTACCTGTTTTATTTTCATAATAGCCCTGTATTTTCTTAACAGGTGGTGTGCTAACTTTCTGTCACCATGACAAAATACCTGGCATAAGTGACTTAATGAGAGGAAAGGTTTATTGTGGCTCACGGCTTCCGAGGCTTCGGTCCATGCTTAGCTCGCTCCATTGTTGCTGGGCCCGTGGCAAGGAAAGCTGCTCACCTCATGCTGGCCAGGAGCACACAGAGAAAGGGGCGGGAGGGTTGGGGACAGGATATGGTCACCAAGGGCTCATCTCTTCTGTCGGTGAGGACACTGGGCCAGAGAAGGGAGGCGTTTCATCTGGGACTGGAAGGCTCCTGGTACTGGCAGGAATGAAGGCTGCATGGGGGAGCTGGGTGCCTCAGCATTGGCACTGCGAGGGGCTTCACATCACCTATGTGAAGCAACCTGAGACCCATCTGTGGTTCAGAGTCCTGACGAGCTTCCTCCTCTAAGAGATGTTTGGTTTCCAAGGAGACATCTGCAGACTCCATGGAGGTCCATGGTTGGCTTTCTTCTTCCTTGTTTCCATGGCTACTGCTTCAAACCTTCCCCATGCTTAAGAGCCAGGGCAGACGGGAGCCAGGAAAGAAAGCCACAGCTAGAAACCTCCTGACCTGCAGCCGCCTCTGGAGACAGCTGGAAGAATGTCTGCCAGGAGCTTCCTGAGCTGGTGGATGGACAGAGTCCCCAGCACCCAGCCGTCCAGGACAGACCACAGAGACTGACTTCTCACTCTCTCTCTCTCACTGTAATTCATATCTGAGAGGGCTTTATTTAACAGTTTTAAAAGAATGAATTATGGAAGGCCTAACAGCACTACGGTCAGTTAGAAGAAGAGTATTCAACGTCAGTCCCCAACTTAATACTATAGTTGGCCGTGAAAGCTGACCCCTGGCTCTGTCATCTTGTCAGGAGGGCTTCTGCCTGAATCTGAGGATGCCGGCTTCGGGCTGTGTCCTCTTTCTCCATGTCTGGTGCGGGGACACGGGACATAGACACAGTGCAGAGTCTGGGGCTCCGGTGGATGGGGGTACGGAAGTGAGTATTCCGCACCTGGGCGCTCTGGGCTGTGAATCATGTGACCTTTCCACAGGTGTCCATTCCCGGTGCCGGCCTCCAGCTCTGGGAGAGGACAGGGGCCAAGTCTGGGGGGCAGGGGAACAGAGCCAGGCCCCAAGCTGAACGGTATCGATGTCGGTAATGTGGTGGTGATACCGCACAGAACCTGGATTTGCAAAATGTTATCACTGGGGGAAATTCAGCAACGTTTACAAGGGACCCCTCTGTATTATTTCCCATCATGGCCTGTGATGCTACATTTATCCCATTGACACAATTTCCAATTTTAAAAAGGACCAGGGAGACAACAGTTCCGTCCACATCAGGGGACTCACTTAGGAGCTCTTGCCGGAGGGCTAGGTAAGAGGTCTGGGGGTTGCAGAACTGCTTTTAGGATTTCACAGTGTTTCCACAGAATCCCCTGGAGATTCATTCAAATTGTGTCCATAGTTTGTTCCTTTTCACTATTTTGTACTCCGTGGTGCAGATGTACGAGTTTGGCCAACCATTCTCCCGATGAGGAACATCTGGACTGATGTAGTTTGGGCAACTGCAAATAAAGTTCTTCTTTGATCCGTTCCTGTTTAATTTCCAAGAGTTCTGCATCAAACTTGGTTTCCCAACATAAGAAATTCTCAGTTGTAACCGGGGTGCCATGGAATACTTGCTTCTCTGCTTCTTCTGCTGCTTTTTCTTTAAGTTCCTTTTCTTCCTCTCTTCTCTTTTTTATCTGATCTACTATTTCATTTAATTTTTCTTGCACTGCTGTCACTAGAGTAAAGATCATGACCACACCAAGATTTTCCTCAGCCTGTAATGCTAATAATTTTAAAATGTCTAGGACATCATTATCTTCTAGGTTTTCCTTGGAAAATATTTCATAAAGAGGAGCTTCATCTGGGTATTTTTCACTGTATGTAGACTTGAGGGCAGTCTGGACGGTTTCATCATTTTCTCCAGCCTCAGATGTCACAGTGACGGTGAAGCTGAGTGGATTTTCTGATGAGTTTCTGTGAAGGAGTCGGGGTAGATGGACTCCAGAGCCTCCAGTTCGTTTTGCTGCTCCTCGCTGTAGTCCGTCATCGTGGCCCTGGCTGCTGCCCATGGAGCACACCAATGCTCAGGCAGCTCCACAGCCGAGTCCCGAGGCCTCCGGCCAGGCCCGGCCTGCTGAGCCACAGCCCCACACAACTCTTGGCCGATCGCTAGTTCTCTGCTAATATTTTTTAAAACATGAATAAGAACTAGATTTTGTCAATTATTTCTTCCACGTCCATTTTTCTTTAGCTTGCTGGTATGATGGTTTACACTGATCATTTTCTGATGTTGAACTAGCATAATTGGAATAAACCCCACTTGGCCATCTGTATAATTCTTTCTATACATTGTTGGATTATGTTTGCTGATATCTTGTTGAGGAACTTTGCATCATGAGAGATAATGGCCTATTGTTTTCTTTTTTTGAATGTCAGTTTTGTCTGGTTTCAATAGTATAATATTGGCCTCAAAAAAAAAAAGCTGGTAAACGGTCACCTCTCTTCTCTGTTCTTATATTATTCACTTTTGGGCCACAGTACCTGAGATCCACAACTTAGAGGAGGGGATCTTAACTTGGCTCACACTTCTGGGGGTTCAGACCATAGCAAACTCACTCCAAAGCAGAAAGGGCATGGAAGCAGAGGACAGCTGTTCAACCCATGGCAGCCAGAAAGCAGAGAGAGAAGGGAGGAGCTGCAGACAAGAACACACCCTTCCAGGTCACCCCTAGTGACCTCCTCTTCCAATCCAGCCCCACCTTTGAACACAGTAGATTTTCAAGGAACGTTTTTGATATAAACCATAACTGTTCTGGAAGAGATTTGGGAAATTAGTCTTCATTCTTTAAAAATTGGGCCCAGAAATGTGTTTAGGGATTTAAAAATTATAAATTCAGTTTCTTTGGTGGTTATAAGGTTATTCAGATTGTCTTTTCATCTTAGCTGAGTTTTGGTAGTTTGTGGTTTTTGAGGAATTATTTTGTTTCTTCCAAGTTGTCAAATTCATGGGAATAAAGTTCTTGGTAATTTTCCCCATGAGCCGTTAGAGGTCTCCAGGGTGTGTGGTGATGTCTTCTGTTTCATTTCTGATTTTAGCTGTTGGTATCTTCTCTCTCTTAATTTTTGTCCATTCTGCTGTAGCTGTGTCACTGTTCCTGATTTCCCTGGGAACAGTTTTTTTTGTCTCATTGATTTTCTTCCTATTGTCTTCTGATTTTCAGTCTCACAGATTCTCTTATTTTCTTCTGTCTCTTCACTTTGGGTTTCTTTGGCTCTTTTTTCTTAGGTTTTGAGGAAGGAACTTAGGGTCTTGATTTGAGACATTTCTTCTTTTTTTTTTTTAAACAGATGTAGGTTTGCTGCCACAATGTATACATTAAAACCTGATTTTATTTTTTTGGTACCGGGGATTGAACTCAGGACCTTGCGCTTGTGAGGCAGGTGGTGGAACCACTGAGCTAAATCCCCAGCCCCCATTTCTTCATTTTTAAAAAAATAAGCTCGTGCTACGTGGCCCAGGCTGGACTCAAACTCCCACTTTCCTGTAAGACAGAACAAACCAAAGGCGTTCTAGACCAGTGTTCTAGATGAGTTCCAGATGAGAACTTGTGGTCAGACAAACAGCTGGCCGTGGCACACTACCGTAGGTTCGCCACCTCTGCTGTAGGTTGTGTCAGACGTTTCTTCCACGTCAGTCAGTGTGACTGCTTTTCTCTGGCTAGGCTGACTCTGAGCTGGACAACCCACAGCCACTTCTCCTGGTGAAACAGGTAAGAGGAGAGGGCGTGGCCTGGCCAGCGGCTGTCTGCTCCTCCCCCTCACTGACCCCCCCCCCCCCCCCCGCATCCTAGTGCACCGGAACAGTTGACTTCAGTGTCCTCCGTGGCCATCAGACACCCCCCACTCCAGTAGGGCACCCGGGCAGCATGGGGCCCCTCACACCCCTGCCACTGCCTCTAGAAGAAGGGGCCACCCTCTCTGGAGTGGCCAAGCTGAGGAAGGGAGGACCCGGGCCCCTCATTTCCATACCCAGCATGCACAGCAAGCTTTCAGCCCAAACCAATGCCAGATAGTGATGGCTGGCAGGGGCAGGGACCCACAGCTGTGTCAGCTGCTGTCACCCAGCACTATCTGGTGTCACCTGGGACATCAGGACTCCCAGCAGAGCTGCACTTTGCTGATTCACGATTTCCGCCTGAATTGAGCCAATGTTACAGGCAGAACCTGGGATGTCTCCTAATTTATATTCTAAAAGGAAGCCACGCATTCTCTCCGAGGAGGGTGAGTGTGTGGTGCTGACTGTGGTCACGTGTCAGGCAAGCAACTAGCCCCTTGACAGAGGGGTGCAGCTTTGTGAGATGCCCCAGGGCTTTCCAGGCGGTGAGGAGTCTGAGCAGTGGGGCAGCCCCCTTCTGGGCACAGGTGGGACTAGGAAGCCTGGAGTCCCAGCCTCAGCCCCACTGAGTAACACACTCAGGTGCCTTACGTGTGTGTGTGCGCGCGCACGCATGTTATTAGGACCCACGGGTGCTTTACCACTGAGCTACATTCCCAATTTTTTTATCTTAAGGGTTGCCCAGGCTGGGCTTGAACTTGAGATCCTCCTGTCTCAGCCTTCCAGAGTGCTGGGATTACAGGCACTTTTCTTAACCATATGCCCTGGCCTAGAGCACTCCCTATAACCCACCTGGCTCAGCTAACTTTTAGGGTTGTGAAGGATGAGAAAAGAGCATCCTTGTTTGGGGACTGTTCTGCTGTTAGTTTCTGCATTTACTTCCCGGAGCAAGCCTGTGAGAGAAGTGGGGAACATGACTTCCGTTTGTCAGCTGCCGTCTCCACCTTGGCTGAAGCACCGTTAGCCGGTCAGCCAGGCGGCCATAAAGCAGTCCCTGACTGGGACCGCGGGCTGTCAGAGCCTCTGACCCCGAGATACCACAGGATGGGGACACGGGGAGACAGGAAGTACCCAAGGGATTCACCCTGGATCAGAACCCCAGCCAGGAAGTACCCAGAGCTGCCCGACTCCAGAGCACTGTGCCTTAGGGAACATAAATAAAAAGAGAAGACCTGATTAAAATGCCTAGCAGTAGAAATAAAGTAGAACTGGCCTTTCTTCGGGTGCCAGACATTGAACCCAGGGCCTTCTCACTGAGCTGCGTCCCCAGGCCCTTATTTTTTATTTTGAGACAGGGTCTCACTAAGTAAGTAGGTTGCTCATGCTTGAACTTGCAAACCTCCTGCCTCAGCCTGTCAGAGTGCTGGAGTTACAGCCGTGCACCACTGAGCCAGGCTACAGATGTCTTTCTCTGGTCTCCTCTTGGCCCTCATTAAACCATCAATGCCATGTGTTCACCTCGGGGACTTCTGAAGGTCACAGCAGGAGGGGCTGGGTGCAGTATGGGGACCTGTAAGTGCCCGATGTAGAAAGCTCTGCCAACAGGTAACTTGCTCTTAACTTGTCCCCTGCTCTGTCGGGACAGGGACTGTTCGCCATCAGTCCACGCCAGGGACACAATCCTCACCTCTGAAATAAAACCCACGCCCACACACGGACACCTTGGGTAGAGGAGGCTTTTCTGCATGGGCTGGAGCTGGTGTGGGTGGGCTGATGGCCAGGGGCACATGGGGGCTCTGGGGTCTGCCCCCCAGAGCTCATGGCTGGCCTGGGTTGGCACTGAGGCCTGGGACCCCGGTTTTACATCCCCGTGGGCGTGGCCGGGACGTGGAACCGCGGGCAGCAAGGGCAGGAGGGTGAGCCCGGGGGAGCGGATAGGGCAGTCCCTGTCCCTCCAGGGTGGCTCAGAGGAGCACTGTCCCTCACCGGACACCTGTGTGTGAGCAGCGGTTGGGGTTCTGGTTGGGAGGGGCAAGAAGGACCCCAACAAAACCAGGCAGGGGTGGGTAGCCCCGCACACCGGTTGCCTGGAATCTAAGAGATTAGGGGCTGCTTCAGCCTGACCTTGGGCCGGTGTTTGACTTCAGGGAAGGTGTGCTAGAGAGGCCGTGTAGCAGGCACGTCACCAGGGCGCCGCCCGCCCAGGAAGTCCCCCAAAGACAAATACCGACCTCTGTACCGACTTGACTCACCTCCCACAGGAGTGAGGCCACGCCTCTCCTTCTATTTTGGGGAAAAGCAAACCCATTACTTTGCGTTTTTAAAAACAAGAGTATTTTGCCAGGGATTTAGCTCAGTGGTTCCTTTGCCTGCCTCGCAAGCACAAGGTTCCGAGTTCGATCCCCGGTACCAAAGAAAAAAGAGAATATTTCTAATGATAAAAGTTAATTATGTGCATTTTAGGAATAGGTCAGGAAATAGGAATACAGAACCCGGCGAAAAGACATTCACCCCCATTTTTGCTGTCCCGCATTCCTCCTGGCTTGGATTCTGCTTTCTCTTTCCTACTGAGTCATCTGTAAGCTTTCATGTCCACTTCTTCTGTCTTTTGTGGTTTTTTCCTTTATTTATTTTTTCCTCAATTTTTAAATCATACAGAGTCAGGAGAGTCCCTGCAGGGAACTGGTCCGTGTAC